TCTAGGAAGAGTTTTTCCTTGGGCAGGAATACTCATTCGTGAGTCGTGATGTACTTGAAAGGTTAGTGTAGTAAAGTAAAAAAAAAAATAGGCATCACACACTCGCTCATGCGTTTCACTCAATAGAATGTCACTTGTGTTTATCACTCTCTTAATATGTAATTAAATACTCTTCACTCAAATTAGATTTGGCAAAATTATAGATGAGAAACAACTATGTGAGATAACAATTATGGTGAAATTAACGTTAAGTTGTAAAAGAAGTGTAAAAGATGAGATATGCTAAGGTAAGATAAAGTAGATAAAATAAAATGAGATATGAAATAAAAGAAGATATAGTAGAAAAGAGTGATAAGATTCATTGGATAAAAAAAAAAAAACATATCAACCCTTTCCTCTATCAAATTGAATCTTAGCTCTCTCTTTGTTTTTTTTTTAACCTTTTTTTAGATCAATTTTTCTTGCCAACTCTCTATTTTTTCTTAAAAAAAAATTTGCACCTATTTTCTTGCACGATTTTATTTCCTTTAACAGTCATGGCCTTTTATTTTGGCGCAAATTGCCTTTTGTTTCAATTTGAATATGTAAGGAAAAGAAATCTAAAAATCAATAACAAATTGAATGAGTTTTTCCTTTTATTTTTTTAATTAAAGAATGGAAGGAAAAAAATATAAATATATGGAAAAAAATGGATGAATGACGTATGGAAGAAAGGATGAATAAATGTGAAAGAAGAATATGATAAATAATGAAGAACACAATAAAAATGAATGATATGTAAAAGAAAGAATGAAAGAATGAGAAAAATAAATATGATAAATAATGAAGAATACAATGAAAATGAATGATAAATAAAATAAGTGATGAACTAATGAGAAACATGAATATGGTAAATAATGAAAAACACAACGGAAGAACACAATAGAAGAACATAACTTGAAAGAAAAGCAAGTAGGGCTCTAAGTACCACATGATATTGGGGCAACTGAATGATAACTCACAATAGCTCAAAATCCTATGGTGCGTTATTTTATGAAGAACAACATTAATCAAAATAGCCTCATAATTGAAAAAAAAATTAATTCATAAATCTAATCCAGTCTCTTAAAATACAAATGAGTTACTATTTAAATAGATTTTTAAAAATCTAAATTACATAATCCTAGCTAATTTAGGATTTCAAATGGATATATCATATTCTTAATGAATATTATCTCCATTAAAAAATGTAAGGCATTTTTTAAAAAAATTGAATGTTAAAAAATGTAAAATATTTTTAGTTTTTTAAAGTGTAATTATCATCTTTTTTTTTAAAAGTGTCCCTATTGATAATGACTTTATATTTATTGTAGGGTGGGTTAGTTTGAAAGTAGGTAACTACTTTGTTGGGGGTGAGATTCAATTAAAAATGCTTTACATTTTTAAACGGAGGAAATGTGTTATCCTTATTTGAAATTGAAAAATAGACTAATTTTTTTAAAATTAAATATGAATTTAAAATAAGATAAACTAATTTTTTTAAAATAAACTTATTTGAAAATTTTGTATCAGTTTTGCTTTTTATTTTTTATTTTTTGTAGCTAACCATTTGGTGTCCGAATGCAAAACCAACTAATACAGATCAAGTTCGGTTGAGATCCTTTTAAGTAAAAACTCTACCCTGCTGTCTTAACTAGCCTGACCCCGGTTGCATGAGCACACGTAGACCGTAACATCTTTGGACTTCGCTGTTTTTTGTCCAAAAAAAGTTTTGGGTCAAGCAGGTAACGGGCTTGTCCCAATACCATCTTCAATTTGTTTAGAACGCAGCAAGATTTTCAATTCAACATTCTCAAATCTCAACTGTAGTTTTTTTTTATTTTATGATAATTAACGAAAAAACTAAATATTTTCTCCAATCTCCAATAATGTTATGCCACTTAAAACTTCAGAAAGACAGTGCTACATTAAACCCACTTACCACTTACCATGTCAGGAGTCAATACATTTGTATTAAAATTTTATTTTTATCTGTAATTAATTGATCCTTTAAAAAATTGTTTCAATAATTATATGTATTTTCAGAAGTCCAAATCATCATTTTTGAAACACTTGTTTGCTACACCACTTATTAATCAGTAATATAGAAATTTTTTTTATTTATTGTGCTTGCTAAGTATTTAACCAAACAGACCGTTGTTATTATAGCATTTATTCCAAGCCCTTTAATTATCATTTAACAATTAACATGGGGGGAAAAACTGGATAAGGTAAATGACAATGAGAGTTTTAAAGGGACCGAATTTATTGGTATACGTAAGAATTCATTAAACAAATATTAAATGCGATCGACAAAAAAAGATTAAAAGTTCTAAACTTCAAATTAAAACAAATCTTTCTGGCCAAAAAAATTAAAACAAATCTCCAAAAGTCATATATTTAAGATCAAAAGTTTCTTCAATTATACCATTACCTTTTCCAGTTTGTTTCATATTAGATGATAATTGTGGGCATAAACTAAAGGTTATAGCTAGCAAACTGGATAACATTATTAATATCAATATTTTAATTATTCAAGCAACGATTAAGAAATTTAAATGACCAAAATGACCAATTCTCATGATCCAAGAGTAAAAATTTCAACAAGGCACAATTCCAACTTGCCAAGTTCCATTCAAAGCATGTTCTTTGTGGTCTTGTTTTGCCTCAAGACCAGGTCAAAGTGAAACAAATTAAATAGCCAAATTAAAACACAAAACATGTACGATCACTCATAAAAATAGCAAACACACGCACTATATATACTCTTCTCATAATCTTCTTCTTCTGCAACTCGAGACATCAATTTGAAAGCTCAGAAAATGGCGTTGTCAAAAGAAGTGATTGTATTTGGGTTGGTGGCCCTCGTGGCATGCACGTTCTTGATGAGAGCAGCTCAGGCCAGTGACGACGACGCAGAGTCGCTTCATGCGTTTCAGCGATCCTCTGAAGGACATTTCAACGTTGTGAAGAGGGAAGATGATGAGCTTGATAACCCCCCAGATGATCAAGTCAATTTTGAATCTCGAAACAATGCAGATTTCTACGTTGGTCATAACAATGTCCAAATATTGGGACATTAAAGCTTATTTCAATCTTCTTCACGTCCTCTTGTTTCTTACAAGTTTCCTCTGATCACATCTCTGTTGATTCTTATAGCTCTTCTCTCCCTCTCTATCTATCTGAATACGCAGCAATGATATAAGCTAAGGGATTACAAACGCAGGCACGCACACACCCAATCCTTATTCTTATATAATGTGTTGTATAATCTAAATGAGGGAAATTACTTTAAATAAAGGTTTTTCGATTCGTTCTTAGAACTACAGTTTATCTTTTCTTGATACATGTGCATTTTTTTTTTTTACACTGGATTTCAATTGATTCTTTAGCTTCTTGATGTATGTGTGTGTACGCAAGTTTGTGTAAAGCAACATCAGCTAAAGATCATATTACAGTTGTCTCTGTTCTTACTTTAAATGTATGTGATTTACATTTTGAGTGCTTGAGCGATTGAGAAATTGGCTCAGAGGTCCTCTTACAACTCTCTCTGTTTTGTTTTTCGGCAACATTAAGTTGTTATTAAATTATCTTTGGTGGTAATTGAATGTTTTCATTAATTTTTTTTATGACAATTATAGTTCAAAGAGGCTTTTGGATAACTTGATCTGAGTTATCGCATGAAGGATGTGTGATTATATATATTTTAAATTATGGTTCATGAATTTTAAAGTCACGTTAGGTGAAAAATAATAAATTGTTAATTTTAAACAAACATCTGTTTGAAGGTATACCAATAGTGATATTTTCATGGTTACAAAAGATTTTTAATAGGAACAAATAGTTCTAAATAATTAAGAAATATATTATTGCTTCTTTTTTTTTTGGTAATACAAATAAATTATTGCCTTTTGTGGCCACTAATTAAAAGAGGTTCATCCACTCAATGTAACTGAAAAAACCATTCAAACAGTATTTTATGGGTTTTGAATAATGATTTTAAAATATTTTAACACTATTTTATTTTATAAGTGAATTTCAATAAGAATGAAAAATCTATTACCAACTAATTAATGGGTCCGAAGATGTGGATTACTCTTTTCAAACTACACTATATGGTTTTTTAGAAAACACATTTAGTCTAAAATATAAAACACTGGGTAGATTTAGCATACCAATACGTTATTATATTTCACTAAAGTAATTAATGAGGATGTTTTAAATAAGTTGAATACTATATTTTTTCCACTCAAGGGTATGATTAGAAATATGTAAAAAGTTTTAAAAAATCACAATTTTAACCAATGTTTTTTTAGAAGCATAAATTAACTAATAATAACTTATATTATGGTCCAAAAGGAGTATAATATAATGCCTCATCCATGATGATTGCTATCTGTAAAGAAGGAAGCAAGCTTCGGTAAGTAAATTTATAATCTACATATGGAGCTTTTGCACATCAATATCAGTGCTTCGAAGAAGGATCTGATTAACTTTGTGCACATACATATTTTTTTTAAGTGACATCTTTTCACCCAGTAAATGCTAACAATTATTTACAGAAGATTTGGGATTATCATTTTTCTGCTAATAGTGTCAAATTCATTAGACCAAGGTGTTATCTTTTGCCCTCTTGTTCATCGAATTTTCTGCTCATAATGATCATATCAGTTTAAACTTCTGAGTTTCAATCTCTCATCAAAATTGAATTGCTTGCAAATTATGGTAGACTTGTGTTTTGTTTACCTTTCAAGCATAAAAGGGCTATCTTGTGAAGGACCATGTTAGAGATCACAGAAGCTTAAACATTTGAATTGTAGAACAGAGCACAGAAAATGTAGGACTAGTAAATAACCTAATAGAAACTAGATTTAGTTTTGTTGAACTATTTCATCCTTTTCCCTAATCTGCATCAGTCTAGTTTAGCTCCGAATAAATCTCTTTTCATTCATGATCCAATACTATTGAAAGTGAAAGAAACATCAGTCAATTAGATAATTGCATTTGAAGGAATAAAAGCACAGTTCCATAAAACTGCAGCATGTACAAAAGTGAAAATTGGAATCTCCTTTTCCTATAAATAATATCAGTATTTCTGTGTTTGTTCAGCTCTATGAGACAGAGAGGGAACCTCAAGTAAGTATTTGTATAGAGCATCCTGTTCAAGATGTCATTGAAGCTTAAAGAAAGATATAAGAGGATCATATATATCTTGCTTGGCATTTTGACCCATAACATAATCTGCATGAGCATAATCATCCCTGTACTGCACTACAAGCTTATCATCATGATGACCATCAAGGATTTCCAGCAAGCGCCGTACATCCCTGACATCGGAAAGAGCATCAGCCCCACCATAACTGATGAAGAGAGGGAGGTCATTTGGAATTCTTGATATGTCATACACTGGAGGCAAGGGCTGTCCATAATGTTTAATATTCTCAACTTTGTTCTCATAATCATACATTGCTATGGTTCCTTGTCTGATCACTGCATTAGCCATAGGATTAAAACTTATTTTCCCTCTAATTAAGACCAACTTGTGCTTCTGTTGTAACCATGTGTTCCAGCTGAATTCACAAATTCAAAAGCTATACTACCTTTCTGTTTGAAGTATTAGAATAAAATGTTGAGTATCCTAACAATTTGATCCCCAAATCATTGCACTCATTGAGTTACAGTCCCCAAAAAAGTAGAAAATGCATTATGCATGAGTTATTCTTGAAAAGAACAAATTCCTTTTATATTAGTCAGGTGAATCAAGAATGCCAAAAGAACAACCTTGTGCATTCACTAATTTCAAGAATTAAAGCTAGCAATTCAAGGATGACCACTTACTCTGAGACAGATGAACCGTGTTCTTTGTTGCTGTTGATTGAGGTTCATGTTCCAAGAAAATATTCACAATTGAAGGGTTTACACAACAGTTGGGGCCTGAAACCATTACACTGTGAGGTCAATATAGGTGTCTTTTGAGTATGGCTAGCTAAGTAGGAATAATACGCTTAGAACCTGTGAAAGAAGTTAACAAGTTGGTGCAGTCAATGGCTGGTTTCTTGCACAAGTCCTCAAGGAATTTTATAACAGCATCCCTGTTCAAACATTGGGGCCAAAAAGTGAGGCCAAACCGATCTCAAGACCAATATTAATTCGTGTTTTGATAAAATCACAAAATTAGTGATACCCACTTCCTTAGTCTGACAAAATTGTCCACCCAGTGAAAAGTTAGAAATGGAAGTTCAATCTGTGAATGGTTTCCAGTGAATGTGTGATATCAGGTTGGATTTTGATCTTATTCCACCCACAAGGATAAAATGTTCTAGTTTTATGCTAGCAATACGATACCATCCATCAAAACCATAGTACAAGGTAATAACAGCAACACAATTGCTTGCTTGTAAAGATATCTAGAGTTGCTTACCCTCTCAGATTAAATTCAAATACTCCCAATTTGTACAAAGACTGCTATGAGAAAACCACCCTGCAAGTTAGTCCCGTTGAATTTTAATTAACATAAATAACAATAATTGTTAACAAGTACCTCAGCAATAAAGTTTTCAGCAGCATTTCTAGCCAGAGGTGATGTCATTTGATTGACATAGGCAATGGGACTAAGCAAGGCGGCTGAGCTCAACATGTTCGACAACTTGAACTTAGAGAAAGCAGCCAGTGCAATTAAAGTCCCCTACAAAACAATTCGTCACTTTTCTTATTAATTGAAATGTAAACAGAGGTCAGAAAAACTGCGAGCTAAATTTACCTGTGAGTGTCCAATATAGTGTAGTTTTTGTCTTGTTAAATGATGAACATACTGGATTGTTGCTGGAAGATCATAAGCAACTAACTCATCCCATGACCAATTCCAATAGGCCTGAATAGTTGAACTAATACAAGCATCAGATTCAAATAGGTGGCAAGAGATAAAGAACAACATTGATTAAAGGGCATTAGATGATTTGGTCAAACATAGTTCATCCATCAATACTGCCGTGTAAACTGGTTAAACAAAAAGTTCCGAAACAAGTAAGAATTGAAAAGCAAAATGCCAAATAGGCAGTCAGTATGCAAAAACCAACCGAGCCATTCGTAGCTAGTGATGAGTGTTGACGGCTATACTTGGTTCCACGAGTGTTGGAAAGCCATACATCAAACCCATTGTCTGCTAACAGGAATGCCAGAGATCGACTTGGAGGTAGCAAGAGCCATGTTATACCATCCTGCAGCATCGACCTTTGTATCAGTTTCCAACATCAATGACTAAAAACATGACATAAACTTGCTTTTGAAAACAAGTAGTGACCATGAAAAGCCCATGCTGTAGCAGAACCGGTGGCCTATTCCTCTGCGACCCACCGGACTGCCCTACTGGAATTCTCTGCATACTGAGAATATAACCATCTCTTGTTGTCACCTGAAACGGATCAATCACACAAGAAACTCATCACTAGATGCTCTAAAATCTTACTAATTTCGTGATGATGATCCGAACAGAGAAACAGATTCAGACAGGAATATCAATTACCAAGTGTTCTTCACAAGCATAGCCTTGCGTGTTCACCATTGATGAGCAAATACCATCACCGGGGGCTATTCCTAATGTAGAGGTAATGATAGCTGGTACCAATTCTGTTCTTCTTGTTCTTCCAAGAGATAACCCAGAAAAGAGAATAATGACAAGGATTATTGAGAGTGAAGACTCGGCCATGCTCTGGTTTCTGTACATCTCTAAGTTTCATTATGCCATTATTTATACACGGCTGAACAGAAAACCAGATAAAGACGGAGAAGAGCATTCACATGTCTTTTAAAACCCTTCCTCTTTTTCAACAGATTCGCTTGTGGTTAAGATCAAGCCATCTGTGGGGTCTACCCTCTTTCTTATATTAAATTTGGTGATTGATATGTGAATGGTGAATCACGGCAGAATAGAACAGTCCAATGTGGCCCCCATAGTAAGCCAAAATCATGTGCATTGCAGACAAACATTTTTGTCATGGCTAGCTGCTCTTTCGTCTCAAAGACGAGAGAAAAAGCCATGCATTTCATTTCAGTGAGTAATAGGAACCTAAACCAGATACCATTACTGTTTAGAGATGAAGGCAAGTTTGTATTCACTTATCTTCCATAAGCTCGTCAATCAGTTCTAATCACATATGATTTAAAATGCTTTCTTATGTAAAAATATCCTCCTGTTAAAAAATGTGGAGCGTTTTTAACTGAATCTCACCCTAATAAAATAGTTACTTACTTTTTAATTAACATTATCTTTTCATATTTATTTCTATTAAACACCTTATAATAAATATAAAGTCATTATCAATAGGGATACTTAAAAAAAAAAGACAATAATTACACCTCAAAGAACTAAAAATGTTTTATATTTTTTAACATTCAATTCCTCAAAAAAATTTTATACGGAGCGAATAGTTTTTTTTTATATTGACTTTTAGTCTATGTAAATAGTATTAAATAAGCCCACCCCAAAAAATACCCCAAGATGTGCCAGACTCGAGAGACATTGTAACTGAAGTCTAGAAAGAGCCTATTCGTGAGATTACCCCAGAGCATGCCTTTCTTATGCCTTTTCTATTAGCCACAAATTAATCGTTTTTTCTCTAGTATACATTTCCTAATTACTAGTCAAAGCAAAAGAGCATATATTTATCTTGTATGAAAATATAAATCATGCTGCACCATCAAAATGAGGTTTGAAACACGTCCATCTCAAATCTCAATACTTAACATGGTACATAAACCAAAAAACAAAGAAACTTTTTGAAGGAACTTAATTATTCTCTAATAAAATTGCTGCCATTGCAGTGAAAGCATGGCCCTATTTACAATGCCATGGGGTAAACGAAAGCCAAAGAAATAAAAAGAAGGTTACACATATTACAACTAGATTTTATTGATTGTTATTAACTTGGGACGTTTCTAGGCTTCAATAGATGGCAAGAATGTGGTGCAAAACTCATACTTCCATTTCAACCATAGTTCTTGCTTCCATTTCATCCTCTTTGAGATCGATGAAACTCACCGCCAAGTCAAATTTGTCATCGTCGTCAATGTAAGGAGATAGATCACTATTATTGAAGGTGGCAAACACTCCATAAGAACCAGGCAATTCCACCTCATAAGCATTGTTGTTGATCTTTTGCACAATCTTAAATGGATCATCAGCTTTTAGGGACATCTTGGCATGTGGTTGTTTAGGAAACATTCCTTTCTCATATATATCCAAACCAAGTCTCCCACGTTAAAAGTCTAATGTTTCTGATGCTTGTCACCTTAAGTTTTGTATCTCAAGTTCTACTTCTGTATTTATTCACAAACTTGTTCATACAACTTCTTAATTGCCTTAGCCCTTTAATCAGCATCAGAATTATATTGCTGCTTATTAAATGAAGGGGTTAAGTCTAGCGGACTGAGGGAACAAGTGTCATAAACAACTTCAAATAGACACTTCTAAGTTGCTTGGTTGATAGAGTTATTGTAGGAAAATTCAACTTAAGCAAGACTGAGGTCCTATATTGCTTCAAATTCTCCCCACGAAACTGTGAAGAAGATTACCAAGAACCCTATTTATAGCTTTAGTCTGATTGTCCGTTTAGGGATTACTAGCACTACTAAATTAGAGCTTAGTTCCTATCTTCTTCCATAGCGTTTGCCAAAAGTGGTTGAGAAACTTCACATCATGATCAAAAGTGATATTCTTGGGAATTCCATGAAGACGAACAATCTTGTTAAAGTACAAATCTGCTACTTGAACGACATCATTGGTCTTCTAGCATGGAATAAAATGAGCCACTTTTTAGACATGATCCACTACTACCATGATAGAATTTTTTTGGCTTCTAAGTCCATGGTAAAATGAAAATAAAATTCGTGCTTATATCTTCCTAAGGTGCTTTTGGAATTGGCAACGGCATGTATAATCTTGTGATTTGACTTTTGGCCTTAGCCAAATGACATATTCTACATCTCTGTATATGTCGATTGACATCTCATTTGAGCCTTAGCCAATAAAAATTCTCTTTGACAAGATCAACTATTTTGTCTTTACCGAAATGAGCAACTAGTCCTCCATTGTGAGTATCCCAAATTATGGCTTCTCTCAAGAAACCCTATGGAATATATAGAGTTTTGCCTCAGAATAAAAACCTAATATGTTCGTAAAATTGGTGGAAAGATTGATTTGTCATTTTTTTCCACACTCCTTAAAAATTAGGATCATCCTAGTACAACTCTTTGACAAGTTCAGACCCAATAATTTAGCCTATATTATTGTGAGCAACACATGTCGATGGCTAAAAGCATTAGCTACGAAGTTCAAAGTTCTAGCTTTATGCTTAATAAGGAATGGATAAGACTGTAAGGGTTCGCTTTAATGGGCATGCTTGTGGTTAATCTTCTGTTGAGAATTCAAATACTTAAGGGTTACATGATCAGAAAAGAGTATGAACTCTTTGTGTAAGAGATAGGGACTCCAATGTTGGAGAGCTTAGACAACGACATAGAATTCTTTATCATATCTAGAATACCTAAGCTTAACATCGTTAAGCTTCTCACTGAAAAAGGCGATGGGATAGCCCTCTTAACTTAGGATAGCACCAATACCAGTATTGGAAGCATTATAGCTAACTTTAAATACTCAGTCAAATTTGAAAAGATCTGGGACGAGAGTTTCAATCAACTTCTTCTTAAGCTTCTCAAAACTTTTCTGAGCTTACTTTATCCATTGAAATTTACCTCCTTTAATGTAATATGTAAGTGGTATAGCAATAAAGCTAAAATTGTGGATGAATCTCCTGTAGAAAGAAGCTAATAGATGGAATCTTTAAACCTCCTGAATAGATATAGGAATTGGCCAGCTACTAATGGCTAAAACTTTACTTGGATCAACTTGAACACCCTCTACAGTAATGATGTAACCTAAGAACACAACTTCACTGGTGAAGAAGGTGCATTTCTTAAGGTTGGCATAAAGCTTTTTTTCTTGCAAGGCTTGCAAGAATTGTCATAAGTGCTCTAAATGTTCTTCTTGACTCTTGCTATAAATAAAAATATCGTCAAAGTAAACAACAATAAATTTACTAATGAAAGGTCTTTATACCTGATTCATCAAGTGCATAAATGTGCTAAAGGGCATTTGTTGACCTAAAAGGCATCACATTCCACTCATACAAGCCATCTTTGGTCTTGAAATCAATCTTTCACTTGTTTCCTAGCCGAATTCTGATTTAGTGGTATTCACTGCTAAGATCAATTTTGAAAAAGGTAATGGCATCATGTAATTACTCTAACATATCATCGAGCTAGGGTATCAAAAACTAATATTTGATAGTGACCTTGTTGACAACTTGGAAATTAATGCACATGCTCTAACTCCCACCCTTCTTAAGTACTAGAAGAATAGGTATACACACTCTCTCAAACCAACCCTTTTTTCAACAACTCTTCAACTTCCTATTAGACTTTAGCATGTTCCTGGAGATTCATCCTATAAGCAGGATTGTTAGGAATGACTGCTCCTGTAATAAATTCAATGGCATGATGCATGTCTCACATGGGTAGCAACCCTAGTGGTATCTCATTAGATATCACATCTAAAAATTTAGAAAATAAAGGCATGACTCCTTGCGCATTGGTAGACTTATCGTACATCTCAAGCACCAAAATGAAGCTCATCATTTAATCTTTGAACTTTGTCACCTTGAACTCCTCTTTAGTCATCAAAGACACCAATGGTTTAGATTCCCTCAAAGATTAGCTAATCTCATTAGGAAGTAAAGGCACTAATGTGAACTTGACACTATCTTTTATGAAAGAATAGGTTTTTGCATGCCTGTTATGCATAACATATTAATCATATTGCCATGGTCTCTCCAAAAAAGGTGGCATGCATATATGGAAACAACATTATACAATACTTCATCACAATACCTGTTCCTAATAAAAAAATTCACAAAGCTTTGTTTAGAAACTTTTACCTCATTCCTCAAATTAAGCCAATAAAGCTTGTAAGAATGTGGATGGTCTTGTGTTGGCAACTTGAATTTCTCCACCATGTAGTCAAACACTACATTTTCATAGCTTCCATTATCAATGATGACATTACAAACTTTTCTTTAAGCCATGCAACAAGTGTGAAAAATGTTGTGTCATAGCCAAGGTTCTTCGTTAACTATAGCTGTATGCAGACTTCGTCTAATCGTCAATGCTTTACCTTGATCTGCAGGCATAACCTCCTTATCATATACTAGATCAATTTCATAGGACTTAATCCCTTCCTCATCTTCTTCAGGTGCTTTATACACTTACCCTTCCCTAATGGTAACAACCCTCTGAGTAGGACAATCCGTAGCAATGTGGCCAAATCCTTACAATTTAAAGTACTTGGATGCTTTAGAGCTAGATTCCTTAGCAACATTTGATAGTGGCTTGTACATAGTACTAGATTGCAACTTGCTTGAAGGGTTGGATTGCTGATGCTCTACCTTACAGGCATCTGAATAACCTTTGGAGGAAGAGAGCTGGAAAGATGATCTCTTAGGCATATGCTTTTCCACACAAATGACTAGACAGATTACATCATCCAAGGTCCAATACTGTAAAAGCTAGACTGGACGGCTAATGTTAGTGTTTAAGCTAATAAGTATCAAGTTATTGCTTGCTCCTCATTCTCCTGAATGTCACACTTCAATGTGAGTTGTTCAAACTCTTTGGTATACTCTTCTACTGATAAGGACCTCTGTCAAAGATTTTACAGCTGGAAAAGTTA